TTGACTTAAAATGACTTTCTTGAGTTAAAATGACTTTCTTGACTTAACTGACTTAAAGTGACTTACTTGACTTAACATGACTTTAAAGTGACTTAAGTCAGTCGTTTCTCCCTTGACGAAAATTCGTTATTTTTTGTTCTTTATTAATGTTACTTTAGCTCTTCCAGCCGGCTATTTCAAAAATGCCGCACCCCTATAGGACAACATGTTTTAAAATGGAAACATCCGGTCTAAAATGATTAGTTACGATTTTCATGACTTTCTTGACTTTATTTTGACTTTTATGATTTAAAAGTCACTTAAGTCAGTCGTTTCCCCCTTGCTTTGCCTCCATAACGATATTAGAAGACTCACTAATAGAACAAGTATCGAAACAGAGTATTGTCCTCTTCAGTAAGCCACTAATATAAACATATCGACCAGGTGTACTTTCCTGTGTGCACGGTAATTTGACAACTACAGTTGTCATTGAGAGAGTAGCGACATGAAAACTTGTTTTTATCGTTTGTGAGTAGCGTGTTGATTTCAAAAAAAAATATAATATATTTTTTTAATTCAACAAAGATTTTAAAAAATTAATTGCGTAGCACATCATTAAGATAAGTAGTATTTTGTCGTAGGTAAAAAAAAACAAATAATTTAAACTGAAGAGATCTTTTTTTTTTCATAACATAATTGCCTCTTTTGTAAGTCGTATATTTTAGGCACAAAGTAAGGATACAAAATTTTTTTTACCAATCTGTAGCATAGGAAATTTCCTATAAACAGTGTGTAAAGAGTTTTTTGATACTAGGTGTTCTACATTTTCTGCAACGTTTCTAAAAATGACAATTCCAGTTGCCAATGGGGGGATAAAGGGTTAAGACAGTCGATAGTATCTTGTATTCATTATGTTCTCCAACAGCTCTAGCGAGTTTTTAATTGCCGTATGAGCCAGTCCATTTCGTATCAATGGATACATAGTATCCATTTATTTCTTGCTCATAAAAACAATATTCGAAATAAAAATTTTTCTGACTATACTTTATGTTTGTCGATTTTCACACAAACTATTATATGATATTATCGTATTTAATCCTGAACACCGTAATTCAAGTTATTTATTCTGAACAAGTTGCTTTTAAACAATTAGATTTTTCACTTACAATGGTGTTTGTATCGTAAGTTAATAAGATTAGATATGTCCCACCGTCAAACTAACAAATTCAAAATATGATCGGGCGGTTGGCGTGTACAGACAGTGATATGCGAATTTTAAGATCTTTACAGTCTGTGTACACTACCCACAATTCAAAATTTCAGTAAAATTTATTTTTATTTTTTCCTGATAGTGGGATAGAGTGCATCGAATTTCATAAAATTGGATTTTGCTAAATTTGAAACACACGTTTTCTAATGCAAATCGATAAGCTCTATCTAATTGTCAAGAAAAAACAAAAATAAATTCTACTAAAATTTTGAATTGTGAGCTGGCATGTGAAACCTCCTCCTTTTCCTCTTTTTCCTCCTTTTTTTCAAAACATGTCCTCCTTCTCCTCCCTTTTACGTCGGAATCCTCCTATTCCTCCTTATTATCACTTAAGTTGTGGAACCAGTATCTTCAATATCTTAAACAAAAATATTTGGCGATTCTACAGTGCAGAAGATATTTGAAATGATTGAGTTTATTACTGCAGCAAAAAATGTGTTCTAATTTTCAACCAAAATCAATCTTTTTTTCGAGTTTTTGGCAATTTAGAATAGCCATCAGCATGCAATAAACATATACAAATAGAAAAAGAAGTATACATATCCCCTGTGAAAAAAAGTAGGCAAAAACCAACTTTTTAGTACTTTTAAAAGTTGTTTTTAAACAACAAATAGTACTTATAAGTGAACATCTTTATGTAATTTTCATACTTTTTTTGACTAAAAAAATGCTATTAAGTACTATTGGAAGTGTGAAAAAGCAATAAAATTTATTGAGAAAGGTGAAAAATATTGGTAAAATTTTATTTATTTTACTGTATTAATATTAACAGTAATTAATAATCTTGTAAACACTGAAAAGTATGTTCAATATTGATATAGTAAAATAAATAAAATTTTATTACTGTTTTTCACCTTTCTCAGTGAACTTTATTGCTTTTTCATACTTTCAATAGTATTTAATACTACTTTTTGGTCAAAAAATATGAAAATTACATAAAAATATTCACTTATAAGCACTATTTGTTGTTTAAAAACAACTTTTAAAAGTACTAAAAGGGTGTTTTTGCCTACTTTTTTCACATGAGATATACAGGTTGATTACGTTATTTTTAATAATTTTGTGTCGTTTGCTGGATTTATACAATACATCAAAAATTTTTTATTTCAGCACAGTTGGATAGGGCTTGAGCTCCTCTATCAAAACATATAATTTGTTTATTAGTTTCTCATGCTCTAGTCCAAAATTTGGATGAGTCTAAAACGAGTGCTAAGAAAAATTTTTGAAGGTTGTTGTCACGATTATTAATAGTTTTATTTTCCATATATAGACAGCCTGTTGTATACTCAATAGAATTTCCGATCGCACGTGCGCATCATATATTGAACGATTTTTTTTCTTTCCTCGCTATGACAGTTATAGCCTTTCTCGTTAGATCAATTCGTTCAAATTCATCAAATTCATTTCAAATAAATGCCACGTAATAAAATATCCGACATTGTCGAAGGGCGTATTTTGCAACTATTACGTTGGGGATATTCTCAGTCTCTTATTGTGAACATTTTGAAACTTGATGGTATACATGTATCTCAACCTACTGTGTCAAATGTCAAACAAAAGATCGGTCGTCAAAGAAATTCCGAATCAAAAATTAAAATTTTTCGAAAGAAGCCATCACAAACACCTTCTATTATTAAGAAGGTTATTGAAAAGATTGATGTTAAAGAACCACCAACTCAACGTGCTATTGCTAAAGACCTTCACATTAGCCAATCGACTGTCTCGAACATTATCAAAAATTCTGGATTTACTCTTCGAAAGAAACAAAAAGTTCAAAAGTTAACATCATCGAATGTTATGAAACGTGGACAACGATCATTTAAACTTTATCGTCGATTAGCACGTGGTCGATATAAGAACTTCATTCCAACCGATGAAACCTGGTTTTATTTAGATGAAACTAGTGGGAGAAGGAAAGTATGTTATATTAAAAAGACTGATCCCGATTATGATCGAATGATTATTCAACAAAACACTTCTCGACCAAAAGGCTTTATGGTATGGGGAGGTGTATCAAGTCAAGGAAAAACTACACTTCGTTTTGTTACACCTGGTACGAAAGTTAATTCAAATTATTACATTAACAATGTTTTAAAACCATTTTTAACAAAAGATGTTCCACGTTTATTTCGAAAAGGAAAAAAATTAAAATGGATTTTTCATCAAGATTCAGCACCAAGTCATACTGCAAAAGAAACAATTAAATTTTTGGAGCAGAATAAAATTCATTATATAACACCACAAGAATGGATGCCTGCTAGTCCTGATGCTGCACCAATGGATTATTCAATTTGGGGACATTTAAAACAACAACTTAATAAAACACGTATTGATTCTATTGAGGAACTTAAAAAGAAGATTTTATATGAGTGGCGAAAGATGAGTCAGACGTATATCGATAAAGTATTAGCTTCCTGGCCAAGGAGAGTCTTGAAGATTTATCAAGCTCGAGGTTCTCATATCGAACATCGATTGTAATTATCGTTTTTTTACGTTTTTATATATGGAAAATAAAACTATAAATAATCGTGATGATGACTCTTAAAAAAACTTTTTTTTACACTTGTCTGAGATTTAACGAAATTTTGGGCTAGAGCATGAGAAACTAATAAACAAATTATATGTTTTGATAGAGGAGCTCAAGCCCTATCCAACTGTGCTGAAATAAAAAATTTTTGATGTATTGTATAAATCCAGCAAACGACACAAAATTATTAAAAATAACGTAATCAACCTGTATGTATATTATAAGTTTTAATAAGTAGCATCAAAAGGTAATATAATTACAATTTGCTAGAAGGAGCAAAAAAGTGCAAAAGAAACGACGAACAACATTATACAATAATCACACAACCTTTTTCGCTTTTTCTTTTCCTGTATTGTTCCTTCTAGCAAATTATAATTAAATAACTTTTTTATGTAACATATCAAGAAGTTCTTAATACGAACTTATGTAGAAAGAATAAAATACAATAAATATATAACATGATAGAGTATTTCAAGCTGTACAAAATGATCTGTTTATTATATTTTTTCGCTTTCCTCTTTTATTGAAAAAATTCGATTTTCTCAGTATATCTTTGTGTGAAATGCAATTTTTTATCAGTGTAATCCTCGTAACTCAGCAACCGTAGGAGCTAAATTTTTGTGTAGTAGTGGGACACTCAAAGACCAGTAACATGTAAAAAATTCGTCTGAATTGGCTCACCAGAACGAAAATTATTGACAAAATACAACTAAAAATTCAACCGTAGCAAAAAGTTGCAATTCAGTCATATGTATATTATTTTTTTGAACATTCCTATATGGTCATGTTCTGACGATTACAATGAGAAATTATCGAAAACTCGAGTTAAAGGAAAACTTTTCTTGAAAATTAAAATACATTTTTTGTTAGAGGACTATATCCAATAATTTCAAGAAAACTGTTATTAGATAACTACGTTTTCGTTAGATACCTCTTCATATAACACGATTTAATATTTCATGATTGAAAAAAATAAATTCAGATGATATTCCTGTTAAGTGATGAATGAACCAAGGTGTAAAATTATCATTCATTCATTTGTACATTGTGTAAAACCAAGGATTTATGTTGTGGAAATAAAGGATGGCGATCTATCGAATGTCATATAGACAATAAAAAAGCATCGTGATAATTTAAAATGCTGCATAGAATACATTTTCCACGAGAAAACAGAAATCCTCCTATTTTCCTCCTTTTTGATGCCAGATCCTCCTAAAAATTTTCAATGACAATCCTCCCTATTCCTCCTTTTTTGGAATAGAGCGTTCACATGCCAGATTGTGAGTAGCTCACATAGACTGTAAATATCTTAAAATTTGAATATCTGAGACCTTTAATTTGACCCAAATACGTCTAATCTTATTAATTTACAATACGAACACTTCTATCGTTAGAATTTTTTTTCCTGTCTCAATTGAATTGTGAAAAAAATATTTTCTTTGTTAATAATGTTTTTATGAAACATTTTACTCGATATTTATTTATTTTTTTTCAAATATCCAAAAACAAAATACTTCACTTTATTTTTAATGAACACCACTTATTTAGACCGATAAACAGTTTAAAAGTCTTGGTAAATTTTCTATTCACTAATGAATGTACAAATCATGATATAAAATTTGATTTTCTAGCTAGAGAATCGAAACTTAAATTTCTGTTTTTTTTTTCGAAAATCACATTTACAAGAACGAAGAAATTAAAAGAGAAAAATGTTTTACTTAAACGATAGTTAACTTGGTGAACTCTTTTAATAGGAATTACAATAATGATTTGCACACATGACAATATGAATATTCTGTCTTTATGAAATAGTACAATAGATCAGAACTAATTGATTAAAAATTAAGTGAATAAATCTTTTAGATTTATAAACAAGATCAAAAATTCTTAGATTCAGTACGAATAACATCAATCAACATTCTGTTTCACACATCTCTATCATATAAATAAATGCTGTCTGATTTAATGTTCAATTGATTTATCTAATGACATCTATCGATATGCTAATCTATTTCTCATTAGATCATTGGAAGAAAAAAACTTTACCAATTGAGAATCATTTGATACAAAATAAAAAAATTCCTTGGAAAAGATTCACGTGAAGTATATCATTATAGATGAAACACGACGATATTTTTCAACACCTTGTATTCAATCATCAACACAGATAATTGACGATTCAGATAAATTATTTTCTATGGCTCCTCGTTTTCAAAAAGTTGTACGTACAACACGACGAGATGATACAGAAATTAGTCGATGTATCAAGTATGAAAATTTAATATTTTATTTTAAATTTCTTCTTTTAATTATTTAGATATTCAATGTTTGGATTTAATATTCTTTTTTGGGTAAATATTTTTCTAATAATTAACTTTTAATATCTTCTTTTACATTTAAGATTCTTGGTTTTATGATTACAGCTATTGGTATATATGCATGGATTGAAAAAGATACATTTGATAATTTTGGTCGTTTAACAATGCGTGGAACATTATTTTTTGATCCAGCATTAGTATTTGTTCTTGTTGGTGTTTTTATGTTTTGTATTGGTTTTGCTGGATGTGTTGGATCATTAAGAGAAAATACTTGTCTATTACTTTTTGTAAGAAAGATTTCTTTTTTTCTTCTAAAATTCTTAATTTCTTTCTTTGAATTTTTGTTTTTGCTTCTATTCTTGTAGTTCAGTTTTGCTTTGGCAATTATTTTTTTTGCTCAACTTGCATTTGGTACATTAGTTTTTATTTATCGCGAAAAGGTTTGTTTCATTCTTTTTTCTTTTTGTTTGTATTGTTACATGAAATTCTTGTTTTTTTTGTTTTTCGTTTAGGTTAAAAACGAAGGTGAAAAACAATTAATGATTATGATTGAAAGTTATCGTGATGATCCTGATTTACAAAATATGATTGATTGGATACAACGTGATTGGTTACATTGTTGTGGTGTTAATAATTATCGAAATTGGGAAAGTAATATTTATTTTAATTGTTCATCAAAAATTGTTGGAAGTGTTGAAGCATGCGGTGTACCGGCTAGTTGTTGTCGAGCAGAATATTTTCATGTAAATGATTATTTATGAATATAGAATTGAATTATTTGTTTATTTTTTTTTTAGAATAATAAACAATGTGGTTATGGAACTTTAGAATCATCAGCTGTAAGTTTATATTAGAAATTGGAGAGAATAGATAAATAGGAATTAATTATGAATTTAACTTATGACTTGGAAAAGCCATGAGAGTTACAGTAAGATGAAAAACTCTTTGCTCTCAGAGTGAATATGAGAATCCATTATATTTGTCCTCTTGAATGAATACCATTCGATAAGAGTCATGACACTAAAACTGCTCTAAAGCATGATTTTGCCATTGTGTTGAATTGACCTGTTGACACTCGTATTCTTCTACTTTCACATGCTAACACTAATATTGCATAGAGCTAAGTGTTTTCCCAACCAATCTCCGTTCAAATTAATACTGTATCTTCCACAGGGATAGATGTTCACCTCGATCATCAAACGATTTTTCATCGGTGTTTTCATTGAATCAAGTCCTGCATTGTGCCATGTCTTCTGTTATCTAGACCATATTATATTTAATAGTTCAAAGGATGATCTCTGTCGGCTCGTTTCGCTTTCAGCAAAGTAAGATTTTGTCGTCGAGACACTTTCTCCTCAAAGCGCGAATGTTTACGACGATTTGTAGTCTGCACAGCTACATATCGAACTCCTCTGAGATTCTACAGGATGCTCAAAAAATTTGAAACTTTTGCATCTTACTGTATCTCTGTGCTGAAGTGTGACTCGAAAATTATTAGTCTACTTGTTCGATATTTTTTATAGGGTACACATATGATTTATACCGATGGATGTCTTCCGAAAGCATCTCAATGGTTTGAACGACACATTCTTCCAGTCGCAATAGTTGTTGTTGTTCTTGCTGTATTACAAGTAAATCAATCTAGAATAATTATTTTTCTTTTTTAAATTTGTTTAATAATATCCTTTTTTTTTTTTGAAAAGATACTGGGTATTTGTTTTGCTCAAAATCTTCGTAATGATATACTTGCTCAAAAAGCTAAATGGATATGGCATGCACATCCAATGATGAATTATTATCGACATCAATAAATTTAAAAAAAAAACAATCTGTCAGATTAGAAGTTTTTCTTTTTCTATTGTTCTTTGTCAGACTTACATATTGTCAGAAAAATAAGAGATCATCTTTGCAGTTTGTGTGTGTGTGTGTGTGTGTGTCTTTCATTGTTCTCAATGTATTTCTGTAGATAGGTATATATATATACATATGTAATAAGAATCATCTTTTTCTCTTCTTTTTTTTTTTGAAATGAATCTATCTCTCAAGTATCATTTTAACATATTAATAAACTAATTAGAAATGCTTTTTTTTTCAAGTGAATAATTTAATTCAATAAACAATATATACAGTAGTAGAAACTTTTTGAGATTATGAGAACGAAGAAACAATAAAGGTCATCTATGTCAATGTATTTAATAAAAATAAATTTTCTCGTACTACATTGATCAAACAAAAAGGATAGCTAAGATTTAAAAAACAAAGAAATACAAATATTAATAGTAAATAAACGAAATTCGATAAAGAACAAGAGAATTCTGATACAGTTGCAAAAATTTACGTTAGACAGTTATTGATCGACTAATTTCCGCCTACTAAATCTCAATGATATAGGCTTGATTAGACTACATTTTATAAAAAAAATAAAAGGTAGGATACACTTGTCTGAACTTTTGTTTTGATGAATTTTGACTCTTCGTGAGTTGTTATATAATAGTCGAACTTTCGACAATGATCGATCACTAGTGATAATGTTGAACACAAGGTTGAAATTGGTCTATCCAGACTCCTTCAGTCAATGACGAGATGAGTGAACATGGAACTATTTTCAGTTATGGCTGAGCGAAAAATGTACGTGTCGAACACAAAACTTCGTAGAAACTTTAAAGCAAATAAGAATGAATGAAATAATTGCTAGTAAAATGATACTTAGAATGTCTTATTTTAGCTCGTATGTTTTAGTGAAAACTATCGTCAATTATCACTCAGGACAGTATCAATTGTTTCTGTGTAAATAGTAGTTGAAAAACAACTTGAAATTTCTCATTTGAAGTTCATGAAGCTTCTCGATCTCATCATGGAGTAATAAAAATATCATGACTTTCTGTGTACATTGAACCAATTTTCTTTTCACATAAAATCACAGCTCAAAATTGTTCTCATGAGTTATTTTAGAAAATTATGTCTAACACATCTGCATGTAAGAATTAGACATTGTACAAGACCTTAAACATATATTGACGCATTATAGCAGATACTTGATCCCAATATACAAGTTTTAGAGAGCAGGATAACGAAGAAACGACGTTCTCCCATGCTCTCCGAAGCATGAGGGTACAGTGAGAATACACGGAGTATGGAGTCCCCGAGTACAGTTTTATAATGAAGAAAAATTTAGGCCTAAATCCAAGAAGATAACAACCAGGGCTGTCACCTTCTCAAGTCAGAAAAGCAAGAATGATGCGGAAAGCTATTTCTTTCGTGGACTCTCCACATTTCTATGAGTCTAAACGACTTGTTGCTACTTTCCATGACATTTCTTTATTCTCAAAGCTCAAAAATAAAATAAAGAATGCATAAAGAAGTTTGGATATTTTATTAAATACGTCAATTTTTGAATGTAGCTACATCTATTGTTTGAATATTTTTCGGTTAGCAATTCTTTTTGAGACAACAGATGTTTGTGCATGTTCATGCGATAATGAAATATTTCAAAGAATGTGTATTTCTACAGACATTCAATTGTAAAAGTCATTGTATAAATGTCTCATTACAGAAAAAAATACTTTCGACATTAGGCTTTGCTTGCTGTAATAGAACACAGAATGCATCATACCGAACAATAATAGATTGTAGACGACAGCTACTATAACTTACCTGATATCAACAGATTTTATTGTCTCAAATTTTTCCAATAATAAAATAAACCAAAATTTCCCGTATGAAAAAGCAGACGAGATGACAATCTGCTATATATCGCGTGCTTCTACTCCATTCTCACTGTACTTTTGTACTTCAGAGAGTGCGGGCGTACGCTGTTTTCTTCTTGGGGTTGGACGAAAATTTTTTGTAGTACTTTATATATCACAAATAAATTGTATTATTCTTTCAAAGAATCTTAATTAAAAATATAATAAATCATTCAAAATAAAAATAAATTGGGGACTTACAAATAAAGTACCGGAAGTGTTCCCTCGATTTAGAGCTCATATTCTGCCCACAAGTAGACCTCGATGTCAATAGTCAAAGCCTAAAAGGATTCGTAATCCATCGGCTGTTGAAGCCGACTTCTGATCATTTTTTAGCCATCCAATATCTTAAGGAAAAAAGCATTCGTTTTGACTGAAATTTTTAGAACATTCTAATAACCATGAAGCCTTTTTATTGATAAAATTTCAGATCAAAATACGATCATATGATTTTTCCATGAATGCCTTGCCTGAAATCGAAAATCTAGTGAAATGGTCATAAGTCGACTTCAACAGCTCATGAGCAAGAATTCTTTTAGGCTTTGGCTATTAACATTAAGATCTACTTGTGGGAAAAATATGAGCTCTAAGTCGAGGGAACACTTTGAGTATTTCCCTCGTTAGTAAAAATTCCATATAAAGGGAAATTTTATTTTTCTCCAAAAACATCCAGATTAAATTAAAAGAACACTAAAAGTAAAGTTTTTATTTTTTAAAGCGTTTTGCACCATGGTTTTCACATGTCGTTTCAGTAGAAGACCAAATAGGAAATGCACCAGGTATTTTACCACAATTATTTGATAATGAAGATCCAACAGCAACCATTGAATTTGATTGATTCCAATTATTTTCAACTAATTCTTCTAGAACAAAAAAAGAATATGAGAAAAATATATATATAATAATCAGATTTTTTTTTATAAATACCATCTAATTTTTTTGTATATATATAATTGGATTGATGAATTATGTCCTGTTTGTATTCAATAATAATGCTAACTTTAGCACGATTTATATTTGGATGAGGAAATGATGGCATAAGAAACATCAAATTACTTCCACTTTTTCTTATATTATCAACTTGATATGACCAGTTAATTTCATTGCACGTTATAGTAATAGTAAGATTAGTTTTGAAATTTTTTGTAATTGGACCTTTCAATTCGATACAAACTTTTTGATTTCCACATAATGGTCCATATAATGGAAATATATCTTCAATAGTAAAGTCACCATAGTCTGAAAAGAAAAATTTTTTCAATTAAATAATAAAAAAAATTCTTTCTTATTACGTTCAGTCATAATAGAAGAATATTCAATACTAGCTTCATCTGGTTGATATGAACCATCTGCAGTTAAATAAAAACGTGTAAAACGAAGCATTGATTGATAAAGTTGTCGAGTTTGTATTAATTGTTTTGTTATTACATCATCTTGCTTACTTTTAATATATTCAATTAAAAAACTAAGAAAATAAAAAAAAACGAAAGTATAAAATTTAAGAATTTCAAAATTGATTTACCTCTTTTCGCCGTTATCGTAATCTTCTTTAGTCACATGAAAATATAATGAATGCGATTCATTTAGTTTTAAAATTAATGGTGATATATTACATTCTTTATTATCAATAGTATATGGATGAGGTTGTTTATCAATTCCAACTAGAGTTACTTGAATAAAATTGTCTTCCTTAGCCCATATTTGAGGAATCTATGAAATCAAAAAGAATGTTTATTAATTATTTATATTAATAATTAAGACTATACATAAATAGTTGGATATGCTGGTGCAATATTATCTTCACATCGTAAAAAATGTGATGATTCTTTGCTTTCTTTTTCAGTTCGTGGACGAAATTTTATACGTGGATGAGTAATAATTTGAATTTTCACAAATTGTGAACAATCAAATTGTGTTACTAAAATTAAAAAATGCAAAAAAAACAACAATTTGTTATTGAAAAATAAGATATGTACATACTCAGTTTAGTATGTGGCACTTGTTCTTCACTTAATATTTGATTTTCATTTGTGACTATTAAAGAAATATGTTAATAATATTTGTCAATTTTATTTTTTATTCAAACATACTTGGAATAGTATATACTGGATATACCGTTTTTGAAGGTTGATAAACTAAAACGATACAGATAAGTATATAAAAAAATATTTTGTTAACACAACATATATTCTTTACAGTTGATGGAGAAATATTTTTCGAAAAGAAAAAACAAAGAGATAATTATTCACCTTTTTACGCTAGATTTAGAACTCATTTAAAATAATGTATGTACAATTATTTTTAATAATATTAAGTTATAAAACATGAATTATATTTTTCGCTTAGCAAATATGACACTACAGGATAAACCTATAGGCTTATATTATTAAAACTTTTTCAACTTACGATCAATAGATGGACTGAGTGTAGCATGAGAAGTATTTCTATTAACACCACCAGTATTATTGAATGATCGTATATCAAACGTAGTAGCTGTAGGATCGCGTAAGAAGTTTTTTATCTAATAAGAAAATAAAACAGTTGAATTGTCAAATTTTTTTTTCGGAGTAAACCTACGTAAGAAAACAGAGGATCGTTATTGACCTGTGTCGGTGTTTCTGCTTGAGGAAGATGTAAAGTTGAAGTTTGAATGAAATCATCAATATCGTCCCCCATGATAATATGTTTATCTAAAAATATCAATCATTTCTTACAATTTAATCTGTAAAATAGCATAATTATATAAAAAAAATAATAATGACTGTTTCATACTATTCGTCATTTTCTTTTTATCTTCTTAAAATTATAATTTTTACTCGATAATTTATTCATTAGACTTATCCTTCATGTTGTAGATTGTCTATTTAACTAATAAATATAATCTTAGAATGATAATTTTCATCAAACAAGCATGATAGTGAAATGACCATTTTTTTTAATGCAATTATCCAATATTTTCATTCATACTTTTTCATAAGATCTCAACCTATGTTTTATCTGAATAAATGATTATTTTTTCGACAAGTTTCCGAATTTATTTTTTTCGAATGTTTGATTCAAATGATTTCGAACGTATGTTTACTGTAATTTTAGTTTTATTGTAACTATATCATTAATACGTCTTCAAGCAAATAAAACACAATTGTAGTAAAATGAACTGCTTCCAAGATTGATGGACATTTCAGCGCACGAAATTTTCATACGCAACACTTGCGTGCAAAGATGTTTGCGCATAGATACATTTCCACGATTGATACTAGCACACTGACACTTATGCGTAAAAGATTAACGTTTTGTGTTCTCATCTTATTAATGTGCACTTCTCTTCACAGATCGTGTCGGTATATTCCGATGAATACGAATCAAACCTGAATGGAAAGCGATAAGCATATGTTGATCGAAGAAGATTTTTACGGGACACTGATGAGTCATATAGAGAAATTCACTACACTTAATAATAGGAGATACAGTATCGAGAACAACTCATGAATTAAAAGAGAAAATTTTTGATTAGTTGGATAAATTAGGGAAAAGATCAAGTTTCTCAGAAGATGTATGTCAGTTTCGAATGTGTTTTTCTTTTTTATAAGACCTTGCAGCCATTCCCAAATTCTTCCTATTTTTTACTAAATCCCTAACTGCTAACTTCAGACTTTTGAGGAAAAAAGTCTATGAAAAATATCAGAAAAGCAGAAACCTGAGAATCAAAGTGAGAAATGTTACTTCGATGATATTAGTATATTCATGGTTACGGTGGCAGAAGTTCTTCATTCTATCCCAAAGTCATACTCTTACCATCATGCTCAAACATGCGCTCACCCTCAACCTTGCCCTCATCACCATCCTGATAACCATCATCGCCCTTACCGTTAGCCCCGCTCTCATCGTCACTCTAACTCTATCCCTCACCCTCATTGAGAAAAGAAGGGAAGAGAAGAGAAATAAGTATAACAGTCAATAACCGTTACAGAGAGCTCGGAAACTTCTAGAAGAGAAGATATATATAGTATATATATAGGATGACAACACTACAAAAAACTACTTACATATACGACAGGAATGGACAAATCCATATGATCATCAGATGATATATGTCTACAAGAGAAAAAGAAAAAACCAGCAAATGATATATTATCTTTGGTAGAGAAAAAGATAATATTTGATGTAGTGATTGATATTGGATAAGTCCTACACCCAAGAAGGAAAAAGTCCAACTTCAGTATTTCGAAATACTGAAGTCGCGCTTTTTTCCCTTATCCCGAACGCTTTCAAAAATGGCAAAAAACTTTTCACTTTCGGACTTCTCGAGAGAGCACGAGAATGGGCTATTACAAAGATCGACTTTTATTTTATTTGATTCCTTGAGAACTTAGCTTCTAAGTGGTCAGACTTGATCAAAATGTGGAGCTTTATGAGAACTAAAACATTTTGCATGTCCCCAAACTTCTCTATAGAGGTTCGAAAACGAACAATTTGTTTGTTATTTTTGAAAAATCCATAAATGTGAAATGATAGTGTGCATTGAACTTAGGGTGGGTGTGGATGTAGTTGTTCTCTTCATCGACGACCATATCTAGACTCATACCCTTGTTATATATATTATTGTAGACGAGATATGCTACTCTGTATTCATGCAATAAAACTTTCGATACTAAATATTTTATAAAATTTTCAACACCGAGATCAGAACTTTTGGTCAATCTCAAGTCGAAATTTTTTGCGCTCGAGAGAAGATATCGAGAGAATAATATATCTTTCTGTCTTTGAGAATCGAAAAACATGATCTATGTTAGACATTGACGTGCTGATTTGACAACCATGCAATTCATTTAACAGGATAACAAGTTAGTATTTTTATAGAACTTGATAGCATACAATTTCTCAACAAGTTGCACAACTGGTCTTCTATATCGTAAGGAACATTATCGAAGAATTTAAAACATCATAAAAATACAAACCCCGTTCAATCATTCACGATGGTACATGATCATATATCGGTCAATTGCAATTAAAACAGACAATCTTTCAAGCTCGTCGTTTTCAGCAATCCTAAGTGATGTTTCATGATCATCATGAATAATGACCATGAAGAATAGCCGTTTACGACTAGTATGACAATATGGGGATTGTAAACGATGTTCAGAGAATATCGTAAGGCATCGCATACAGCAACCGTAAATGGTTTAATAAACGGTCATTGATTTCTATCGTATTTCTTGGTAAGCAGTCGTTACTGTAGACGAACGGATCTGCTTTAACAGAATAGAATATCAAGACTTACTTCGAACTGCATAAAATACTATTGTTATAGAACAAACATCGTTCAATTCTCTATCTAAAAAACGTGCAGACATACACGTATAAGTGTATACTGCCGTGTTCGTGAAACTACAATTGTGTTACAGCACATGTGTTTCTGTAAACGAAGTATGTAATTCGCTGTCGACGACATGGCGTGATGCGACCATCAGAAATGGGGCCAGTCTGGAACGCATACCGACGCTGGATTGCCGAGTTGTCGTACTGTTCCATCTGTCGATAGTGATATTTGGCATAGTCAAATGTCAACGGAATTCCATTAGACATCTTCTATGAGATATTAGGAACAAAAAAATTAGTAATACACACCAGTAATGATCGATCTATCGGCAGACTGACCAATCTGAAATCCGCATCGGTACCGGCCCCATCACTAATGACCGTAATACTATCCTTGACAAACGAATGAATTATGGTTCGTGTACGGTTGTAATGGTAATGTTTACGTACATTTACGTCATTGTAAACGTTCGTGTAAAGTCGTTTATGACCGTCATCATGATGAACCTGAGTAAAATTTTTGGAATGAAAGAAACTACTGTAAAAATTATTAGATAGATACGATTAGAGACAAGACAAAACTCTGTTGAATTAACATTAAACAAAGTTTTATATCGGTTGGTACGGGAACATACTGAGTCATAATATTGCGTTATATTACTCACAATTGTTGTAATATTTTTTAACTTATATACGGCTTTTAAAAAAGTTAATACTTGATGAATATGCAAATTGCTACATACCATTCAATGTACCACAATTTGCTCTGCAAGAAGCGGTAGGTGACTTTTCAAATGAAGGGTGATCATCTTATCCGACAAACTCCTTTTGAAGAATTGAAAGTTTTAATAAATTTGACACTTAGATTTCAAAGTTAGTATTCAATTGGGATTTGTAATTCCATGCCTTATGAATATTTCTTGTCTTGACATTTGTAGTTATGCACCAATCTTGAGACGCAACGTGAACATATTTGAAATTCAATTAATATGAAAATAATCATAAGTTTCATGAGTCATCATCATTGTAAATACCTATATAGTATCATAAGAGGGGATAGAATAACAAATAGTAGGATACCAACTCCTTTTCGTGACTATCTGTTATTAAAATCCACATTGATTTTGCTTGGAAGATGATGTATATAGCTCATTGGATGTGTGCGCTTCCATTGCTTGAAAATTATATAGGTTTAGAATTCTTTCCATTCTGTATATTTATTTCTACATCTGTCGTCACTTTTACCTACGCAATACGCCTCTATCCGTCATGTGCGTCAATAAAAATAAGAAGACAACTTCTACGAAATTCTCTTTACATCACG